ATATAGTAGCTTTATACTCTTAAAAAAAACCTTGCCTTAACTGTTTTGTTATGCTTAATATATTGTAATGATTTAGTTTATTCAGTATCCTTTGACTGCCTTTTCATTTCTGTATGCCATAATTAAATCATAAGAATATTTTTACTTCGATTGCATATTCAGTGTCATGAATACGACATCGCTTATGTCTTTTGTAAACATTTTATTCGACACATCTTATTTCATTTACGCTCATACCTGGACTTTTTTCTTTCAAATTATATCTTAGGAACAACGATTTTTCTGTAACCAATTAAATTAAGAATTTTAGTGATCATTTTATGGTTACGAAACATGCAACAAAATGAAATTATCAGATATTCAAAAGTCAAGACTAACGTTATTGTCAAGGAATACATAAATTACATGTCAACATTATTATACTTTTTCTGGGTCGCAATGAATTGTAGACACTTTCTTGATTTCTTGTTATTTTGCAAAACGTCAATAGATGCCATTTTAAGTTTGATAGCATTTCAAGTTGTTTGTTTTAATATGTCTTTTGTTTTAGAGGAGCAGTGAATCTCGTTCCTGTGTTATTTTTTATTTTGTGATATATTTTACTACTCTTTATATTTATATACATGTAGTATGCTTGCAATATTTGTTTTAAGCTATGTAAAGGATTGTTAAGTTTTGTATCATTAGTTTGATAAACCAGAAATAAAACGTACAATAAAATTTCGTGTTTAGTATCATTGTCTCCGTCTGCGCTGTGACATCATTATAATGCTTGAACAAACTCGTTTTTCTTTCATAAATGTATTTTTTTATCTTTAAAAAAAACAAGTACATCACGCTTATTGCTAGTTGTTTAATGAAAACTGGAGATATGATATGGCGTGTTGTTTAACATAGTTTACTTTTATAAGAAAGAGACAATTACTTAAATGTTCTGTCTTTACCGAAATAAACAAAGATCTATAAAAAGTATGCTGTAATGCAGATGTCCGGTCCAATTAAGCGAAGAAAATCAAGCTTAATTGCTGATATTTACCATTTGATCTTCTAGTTTTCGTAGGCACTGCACAAGGTAAATAGTACAAATCATTTCATATATTGGGAGTTTACTTTCAACTTGATTATTTACTGATTACGCAAAATTTTGAGGAAAGAGTTTTATTTTCAGAGTAGTCATCAGAAAAAAGACAAAAAGAGATTTATAGGTGATAAAAATATTTCAATGATGGATTTTATGTACATATTACAAATAAATCATAACAATAGATTGCAAGTCGTATTAGAAAAAAAAAGTTATTTGGAGATATTTGGATCAGTTTGATTAATTATTCTTGCCTGAAAAATGGCACATTAAATTGACATTATGCTTTTTTTCAATGTCAAATTGACTTAAATTAACTATATATCTCAATAAACTGCTCGTTATAATGGTGATTGACCAACACATGATATTTGAAAATGTTTATAGTAAAAAATAAATCTACCTTAATATATAAAAAGAATGCCCCACTCTTTTTATAAATTGAAAGTTACAGATACATCCCGACTGATAATTACACAAATTTCACAGGGCCTAGTGAGTTATTTATCGTTCATGTGAAGTGAATTATAAAATAAAGAGAAAATATGAGAATATGTTAACTTATTTTGACTTTTTACTGTTCTCTCTATATCTACCCATGTATGGGCAAAATGTCACTTTAAAAAGTTTCTGTAAGAATATTTGTATAATATTCAAAACGAGGGTCGGTCCAAATGTAATGAACTATGATCAATAAGTTATGTAATGTTTTATCGTTCATGTGAAGTAAATTATTAAATTAAGAGAAATTATGAGAAAATGTTAACTTATTTTCACTTTTTCCTGTTCACTCTATATCTACCCATGTATGGGCATAATGTCATTTTAATAGTTTCTATAAGAATATATGTATAATATTCAAAACAAGGGTCGGCCAAAATGTAATGAAATATGATCAATAAGTTATGTAATGTTTTACAATTTTCTGTTTCAAATAATATTCTCCATCGCCATTTGAAGCTCACTCTGATTATATTAGATATTATTTGAAACGAAGAACATTGTTGATTTACAATAAAATCATTTATATGAATAAATAAGGTTGCTTTTTTGTGCTGTAACCCATCTGGGAACCATGAGAAATGGTAGCTTAAACTTGAAATATCCATGCAATATCGAAATGAAACTGTTTGTTTAAAGGCTGATGACAATGATAGGTAGTTTGATATAATTTAGTCACTTTTTATTCGAATTGGCTTTAGAAGGAAATTTTATTTATCTTCGTTACTTTATACAAAGTGGCTATAGTTTTGTTAGTTATGAATAGTTGTCCTCATACATGGACACAACAGTCCTTGGGGATAGGCCTTCAAATTCATGAAACCTAATTGATCTTGGTTCATAAATATCCTTTACTTTCCAGGTCCAGTTATTGATTTTCTCATCTGAGGAACAAGTACATAAATTAAATTGGCTAAAGAGGACCAGAATAATGGTTAGCAGATGATTATCCTCTTTCGGCAAGGCAATAAATTGTTATTATTATTGATACACTGATATTTCATCATGAGATAAAAGTCCAATTTGGCTTCAGACAACTTAATTTTCAAATAGTTAAGGTGGTTGGTTAGGGTATGACTCACCTTCATTGATCGTTCAGTATAGGAAGGAGGACAAAGTGTCAGGTCTGGAGGTAAGACTGCATTAACTAAGTTAGCAGTAAAAATTGTAAAGTGATAAGACTATTTTAAGATTTGATTCCAACTCCTATTTCTGACCAATATAAATATTAAGAGACTGCCGGAACAATAACGCATCCTACTCGGACTCAGTCGGACGTTCACGTTTACAGACACCTAAAAAGATACTTTTTATCTCAAATTAATGCAAATGAAATAAAATAAAATAAACAATTCAAGATAAGTATCTAATAATATTAAATTTAGTCTCATCGCCATATGAACTTACACTTATTATATTGTGCTTATACCTTTTAGAAAAAAAATTGAAACGAAGAACGATTACAATAAAATTAACATTTTAGGAATATATGTATAATTTTCAATAACGATCAATATTGAGACCAGGATCAATAAATCGTTCATTTTTTTCAACCGCTAGAAAAGTAATAAAGGAACTCTTTGAATTGTCATCATATTGTATATGTTAGATCCCTTATTGATTTAAAGTTAATGCTAGTATATGAGCAAAGCTATGAGAAAAAATTTGATTTGTTTCTTTGTGAATACGGTATTATGATTTTAATCATAGTAAGCTATAACGTCAAATATTACAATGCACACCACATGAGCATGATAAAATAGTATATTTACATAGGTGAACATTTCAAACACAAAATCGGAAAAGAAAAAACAAAATGATGAAATCAAAAAGGAAATATAAAAGTAGAGACTAAATGAATATCTAGTACCTAGGAAAACAGTGAGCTGTAAAGTTTGATAAAACTAATAAGGTTATAAACAAGAACTGTTGGAGGACATTTACGCTCGACTATTCGAAAAGTTGTCACAAGGGTGTTTCATTGAGTATAATAATGCTTACCTATATGAATACATAAAATTGTCCGAAAAGGTACAAACCCTTCAGTAGGTATGGAGATGCCAGCTTACAAGCAAAACTTTAACCACAGGGACGCCGACGCCGACAAATGGGTGACTGCATTAGCTCGATTATTCTGCGAATAGTCGAGTTAAAAATGAATATTTGTGATAAGCGTAGTTGTTTATTCTTATAGATATATATGGTTTTCTTGCTTGTGTTATGTATATTTAGGATTTCAGCTGATCTCCACAATCGACTGTATGTAGGTCATTTCACACTCACATTTTGACATTCTTTATTGAATGTAAATCATGACATAATCACAGTATATAAACGATTTGTACCCCAACCGGATCTTGTGAGAAGATCTCAACATCAGTTCCGTACAAACAGGCGGGGTGACCCATAAAACTTTTTAAGACGGCTTGCATTTAATCTGTGACGGTATGTAAACATTTGAATCATATAAAGAAATAATTTTCTTTGCTTATAGATACATCTATAACCAGCTTATTTAAATTTATGCGCATAAAACGCTGTGCTCTTCGTGTTTTGTTTATGTCAACACCCGCCGATTACACAAGCAAATTTATGACTAAAATTGTTTTATTTCACTATAACTCATATCTGATTCTTAGCTTTATTGTCTTACCTTGTTAAAACACTGTAGTGGTCACATTTTTTACTCATCTGTCATGAGACTTGGTCAGAATGCTTGTATAGGTAATTGTTCGGATGAGTTTGATGGGTCAGGTGAGCGATCTAGGGCCATCATGACCCTCTTGTTTCAGTTCTTTTGTAATAATTATAAAGTCTTTTGAGTATGATTTTAATGTTTCTGTTATTGTTGTCAAATTGAGTAATTGTTATTGTAAGCAAGCTTTTGTTCTGATGTCCAAATTATGAACAATAATGTTTCCTAATTTTTTTTGAAGAGAAAGGGGGCAATGAAGACAACTGAATTCCTCCATTTTGCCTGTCAATAAACAAATAAATACATTAAATAATTAACTTTATCTCCATTAAATCTTTAAAAATACTCGCAAGTCAGGTAACAGATAAAATTTGTAAACTCACAAGTAGGGTTCACAATCACCAGCAAGTAACGTTCAGTTTACGGAATTGACCTCCTTGGATTAACTCTAAATTTACTGTTCAAAATACAGCAATGTATTTTGCAGATGACTAAATTATCATTTGTTATTAATTAGTTTAGTAGTTCGATATTACAATTCAATAACTAAATAAACCTTGAAATAAGACGGATTTTTGCTAGTGTTCATTGTTAATCACCTGAAAGCAGTTCGTGAGTTTTGATTATTTTATAGCTTTAATACTCAAACTTAAAACATTTATATTTTGCATAACTTAAACGCTTAATTAAGTTTCTCTTATACGATAGAAATAAAGATTTACTAACCTAACGTCCATAAGTAGCAATATAAATACAAATATATTAAACAAGTTAAGCGTCAGAAAATGGCTGACACTGACATTTTCTAATAAGATCTGGTTGGGGTTCAAATCGTTTATATACTGTGTAAATGACCTAAGCAAACTGGAATAAGATTTTTGTCAGATTGTTTTTAATTTTTATATAGTGGGAATGGAAGATCTTTTAAGGCAGCATTAATTACAGGAATGTGTGAATAAATTATTATGAACACGCCTTCATCCAATTAAAAAAGTCTATGCAAAAGAGCTAATCAAACACGATTGGCTATGGGGTAGTCTGATAATTGAGTTAATTAATTAATACATCTTGATAAGCATTTAACTATAAAAACATATATTTATTTAAATCCAAAGAAAGATACAGGACAACCTTTAAGAACACGTCTCATAAACACACAGAAAGTCAGATTTTCTGTGATAGCAAAGAAAACAATTCCCCACATTAAAATGTTTGTATCTTAAAAATGTTATGTAATGTGAAGTCACACTGTATGGAAATCGTACAAGCCATCCATCCTGCTATATTGATCTCCCCTTGTACCGTATAAGCTTAGTTGATATCCTTTTTCAGGTGTTGTTACTTTGCCTGTAAACATAGTGCCTTGCTTCAATAGTAAGGTATCCCCTACCCGAATGACTTGTAGATATGGTGCTGAGATACGAAACTGAATTTCAGTTTTAGAAGGAAGGTTTCCCCTGCGAGGCTCATGCAAAATACATTTTTCAACAGACACTGCTCCATATATATGTGGATATTCATGGGTTTTGTCTGAAACTTCAGTACATTTGAAAGTGTACTCCAGTACCTGTGGTATGCTTTTATCTCTATCATCCGAAGCAAATTTACCAAATATGGTTAACTCGTACATACCCGGCTTTTGTGGATGAATTAAAATTTTATACACATCATTTTCTTGATAGCCAAATGTTGCATTTCTTTGTTCTTTTAACCAGTTACCATCCTCATACATTAATCTCGAACTGAAATTGATATCTTCTTTTCCAAGACTTTTGAAAGTCATCTGCAATTCGTTTTTCATTTCAAAATATGCTGTTGTATGGCTTACCGCCTGCATGCCTATTTTGAAAGCTTGTGGACTATATTCTAGGTTTTTATTAAACTCTTCCAGGCTTATAGGTTTAGATAACAATTGCCATTTCTGACTTTCTTCCAAATTATTATCCATGTATGGAAAATGAGCAGAAACAAATTGCTTTGGCTCTGTAAGGAAGTAGAAATCATCAAATTCCTTCTTATAGTCATTTGTTTTACTATCAAGGTGACCTGAACCCCATGTACTGTCTACAAGGTACCGTTTCCCTTCAAGTTGGACGGCATTCCAGGCATGATCGGTACGTGTGTTTAAAGTGAGTTGTTTTGATGGTGAATAGCCATAGCCTTTGGCAAATCCAGATAGTTTCTTTACAGGAATTCCAGCTTTGCTATAAATAGATTTACATTATATGGTAAATAAGGATACACTTGCTAAAAGATTGGCAGGAATGACTGCTTATCTCAAATTATTTTACCTGTACTGCTAGGATGTTATTAAGAAGATAATCGATCTACTTGAATGATTATGAGCTTAAAGGTGCTAAAGTCAAGTAAATGTTTGGAAAAAAACTTAAGGTAAAGTGAAAATCACCTAATTTAGTTCAAATACCTATTGGGCTAAATATGAAAAATGTGGATGGGACCGCTATAAAAAATGAAATGTAGCGGAAAAGGATACAAGAATGCCATACATATTTATTATTGCAAAAATGCTCATTTTTACCATAATGACATAATTTATCATATCTTACAGGATTTAATTCGAATAATCTTGTTTTTATCAATACTTTAAGATAGCTGCGCCTCATAATTCTGGTAAAAAGAAATATTTTCATGATGTAAGTTTGACATAAGTTTTCGTAACTCTAAGTTAACGGTGAAATTAAAATTATTTTGTTGCCACATTGTTTATTGATCACATTAAAATACATAAACAGACTGCGCAAATAAAGCATAATAGTATAGGTTTTGTTACATTGATTTTCTTCAATATTTGACGCTTCCTAGCAACCTAAGTTAGTCCTTTTAATATAGGAGGATATAGATCATAGTCTCTCATCTTACTTAAATGCCATGCTTATTCCAATTCTGTACCCTTTCGGTGCCTAAAAGGGTTTTCTGTCCGGCAGAAAATGTGGTAGTTTTGTATGATGATTTTTTTTCTTAAGTCTTACCTTTTCAATCATTACTATAGAAACTTGCACAATCAGTTATTTATATAACACAAATTTGTATGAAAAATCCTATCACAAACTATCGACACTAGTGTTACTTACATGCGTATCTTGTGGATGTAAGGCTTGCTGAAGGCTTTTTTGCTGAAGAAGATATTGTTGTTTATACATCTTAATTATGATTATTTTTGTAGTAAAGGTTACTGTAATTGTTTTCATTAAATGTTCAATTTTATTGCCTCACCTGCATAACAATTCAAACACACTGGCATATCCTTCGCACACACTTCTGCCATTCTTCATCACTGATTCGGCATCATTTGGAGCTGACTCTGCTCTTCCAAAATAACCATCAACATCATATCTAGAACAGATATCAAGACAATTTATCCTAATGATTCTTTAAATAGAAATAATTGATCGATTGTTATTTTTTTGGCTTTGTTATCGGTATGTCCAATCTGTTGAATACATTGCGTGACATTGGCTTGGCGTAAGTTTCAACGTCTTGTTATAGTTATAGATATTCTTACGATGAAGAGCACGTTAGGTAAGAAATGTACTTATATACGTAACATATATAATGTAGCTTATTTAATCCTTTGTGGATAATTTATCCTTAAGTGGTTTGTATGAATCGGTTTTTAATTGTCAATATCACTCGACACACAAAAGATATGCTGAAAACTGGATAAGGAAAATTGATACGACCAACAACCTTCCTTTATGATATTCTTTCTGAACACATTAGTATTTATTTGATTAAAAATATTTGATATTTTATCCTTGGTTAGATACACAATCATTTAGAATACAGTATATCATTATCAAATATTTTTGTTTTACTTTATGTTTTCGGAGCTCCAAACAAAAAACCCTCGTGCCAGCATTCTTGGATCTTTCGAATCTGATGACAGATATGCTACGAGTTCTTCTGCAGAATTCTTCAAACGGCTTGGTGCCTGTTTTAAAAAATAATCATGGAATATATTAAACAAAAAGTAAGAGAAAAGCAGAACCCCTAAAAAAGCAAAAAACATGGCAGAATTTAACTAAAACGAAAAAACTCTTGATATGTATTTTTATTAAATATTTTGTTCAATTTTTAACACACTTGTTATTATTATTTTGTTCAATTTTAATACACGTACCAAAATTACTTAAAATATTAACATGCAGTTCGTGATATAAAGTAGCAACATTTTCTTAATTAGCGATTGATAAGTTCGACCTGCAAGCGAAGCGAAATTTATTGTTGACAATTGGTCTCAAACATTGGGTTGGGTAGGCATTTGTCTCTAAACGCTCATTTAGAAACTATGTGAGGTTAGTTATCAGTCATGGAGGCGGAGAAATTGGTAATAACTGGTAAGTTAACAAGGAAAGCTTGTTAAGTGGACCGACCACAAAGATGTTACCAATGTTTGAAAAGTGGCATCAAACCAGACAAACAAACGAAATATCGTGTAAGAGTTGATCATACAATATAGAATACTTGGAATCATTGAAACATATTTTAAATGGTTACACCTGTAACAAATCACTGACACGTATCACTGGAAAAAATTGCATCACATTGAAATCGAACAAACCTTTCTTGCATGTTGATCTATTAATTGGTAATCGTTTTTCTCTTTTGAACGGTTTTGAGTCTTGTTGGATGCTTTATTTGTGTCTTTTTGGCTGTTTGTTTTCACAGGATCATGAACAGTTTCCGGCCTAGAATTTCCACAACCCATATTTAGCACCTATTGCGAGAATATGTATGCAGTATTGATAAAATTAAATTAAATCATATTATTTTTCTTATGGTCAAAGATTTTATACAAAGATAAAGGTGAGAAGTTTGAAGCACTACTCCAGATTCATGCTACTAAATGAAAGTTTTGAAAATTTATTTAAAAGTAAATTATTTTGAAGTAACCAAAAGGAAGCAATTAACAAATAGCAAACAGAACTCACAACCCACGTAAATTACCAAAAAAAAGAGGTCAAAATATAATTCCAAAAGGCCTTTACTGCTTTTGTTACGCAGCAGAAATATGGTAATAAATACTGAAAAAATCAATCATTAATTGCACATAACAGTTAAGATTATTACTTTAATCTTGATTCTTCATTCTTATTCATTCTTCAAAATTATTTGTTTATGAATTTACTTAAAATTCAAAATATATGGTATGATTATTTGAAAATTGTTATTTTTTCTTTGTTACTATAAATGGAATCTTCTTTAAACTTAAGAAAATTTTCTTTGTTACACTCACATCATGTATGAAAAAGTTCATAAGTCATACAACTTTATTTCAAGAGCTGTCTCCTTTTTAGTTTAAGAATTTTGCTTTTAAAAATGTTATATTCTGGTAACAACCAGGGATGTTTAAAGATTTACCCTCAGTCTAAGTAAGTGTCTGTCAGTCAGTCTGTCTGTCCGCGTTCTTGACAACACTCTTCTGAGATCACTTTTAGAGAATTTGGAAATTTGGAACATTTCCATCAAATGTACTTGAAAAAGAGAAAAGTTAAAACATTAGTTTTACATATTTATCCTGATAAAATCGGATCTGTTGCATAAACATACATATGATTTCCTTACTAGGCAGGGAAACTTAACACATTTATTTGATACAAACATACTGAGAACTCAAATGATTTAAGTTCATTCATGTCATTTATTTATTCAATGGCATTCTGTATGGCCACGGCCCTTCAGAGTGGTGCTGTGGGTCTACGGGAACTTACGTTTTGCTTGCACTACTATGATTATTATGCTCCCCGAAAAAAATCGGGGGAGCATATAGTCGGCGCCTTGTCCGTTCGTCCGTCCGTCTGTCCGTCCGTTGTCTTGTCCGGAGCATAACTTGAAAACCCTTGGAGATAATTTGTTGAAACTTCATACAGTGGTAGAGGGCATTGAGGGGGAGTGCAGTGTTAAAGAACCATAACTATATTTTTCCCGGTTTTTGAATTATCTCCCCTTATAGAAAATCTTGTCCGGGGCATAACTCTTAAACTATAAGAGATATCAACATGAAACTTTGTAGGTGAATAGATCTCAATGGGTAGATGTGCAGTGCATAAGAACAATAACTCTTTTTGTCCTAATTTTGGAGTTATTGCCCTTTGTTTATTTTAACACTTTGAACTTTGTCCGGTACATAACTCTAAAACTATAAGAGATATAAAGATGAAACACTGTAGGTAGATAGATCTCATTAAGTAGAGGTGCAGTGCAAAAGAACCATAACTCTGTTAACCCTCATTTTTGTATTATCTTCCCTTTTTAGAAAAATCTTGTCTAGGGCATAGCTGTAAAACTATAAGAGATATCTTTATGAAACTTTGTAGGTAGATATATCTCAATGGGTAGATGTGCAGTGCACAAGAATTATAACTATGCCTTGCCTAATTATGGAGTTATTGCCCTTTGTTTAGTTTTACTTTTTGAAATTGTCCGGGACAAAACACGGAAATCATAAGAGATATCATCAAGAACATTTGTAGGTTGATAGATCACATTGATAAGTGCAGTGCAAAGAAACGTTACTCTGCCTTGCTTAATTTTGGAATTATTGCACTTTGAACTTTTTCCAGGGACATAACTCTGAAACAACAAGAGGTGTACCTCTGTGTCCAAAACCTATACGGGGAGCATCACCCGGCTCAAACCGTGCTCTTGTTGCTTTTAATTTCTCTCCTCCCCCAACAAAAATGATATCAAATTACTATTTCCACAATTTTAATGCCTTTAAAATAATATTAAATTAGTCTTCATTATTATTATCATTTTTCTCTTTCTGATATTCGTTCAATTTAGAAAATTGTTACTTTCGGCAAGATTTCTTGTTAAGATATGTTTGATAATAAATTAACTTTATTTAAGTTTGTATGAGTATCTAATTTATTTTGAGAATTTATCATAATAATATACATATAAAAATGATATTAGAATATGTTTATGCAATTGCAATACCGAGTATTATTATGATTATTATGAACTCGAAGGATAATTGTATATCATTAAATTAAAAACGTTAAAAATACATAAATGTTATAATACTGTACTTACTCACTAAATTATCTTTATTAATTAAGCAATGATATCCAAAACTGTAGTATTGAGTTTTGTAAATATTGTCAAAGACTGACAAAAACAATGAATACAGATAAAAGACAGTCATTGAATATGTTCCGAATTATTGATGAGTGGTTTTTAAAAGGTGTGTATGTATATAAGTTATTGTAAGACAATTGGTTTGAATAAAAGATTATTTCATGCAAGACATAATATTCTTCTATACTTCCTTGTTAAATAAAAGACTATAAGACGTATTAATAACTTGCTTCGCTTTATGTCACAGAAGCAAACAATAGCTTTTATAATTAGTTTATTTGAGGTAGACCATGGGTAATGCATTAACCTCCACATTGAAGAGTATTCAAATAGGCTAGAATCACTAGTCAACTATATTAAAATTGAGGGGCGTGGATTCAAACCCCAGACGGGACAACCTTTTTTCTTTCTTTTCTTTTGTGTGTCGCCTCTACGGAGTAGTGGCGACATATAGGAATCACTTCTCTGACGTCTGTCTGTCCGTCTGTCCGTCACAAAACTTGTCGGGACTACTCCTCATAAACTACTGGTGCAATTTCATCCAAACTTTACAGGAATTATTAGTACCAAGTGTAGTTGTGCATATTGCAGCATTTTCCGGTTCAATGATATTTGTCAGAGTTATGGCTCTTTAATAATTTTTAATTTTATAGTTTGTCCGGACTACAATTCTTATACCACTAATGCAATTTCAATGAAACTTTACAAGATTGACCTGTAGCTCAAGTCCTTCGCATATAGCACGGGTTTTTCAGTTGAATGATTTTTGGCCGAGTAATGGCCCTTTGATAAAAAGGTGTTTTTTCTGTGTGTTGCCAGATACACAAAAGCTTGTCCGGACTACTCCTCATAAACTACTGGTGCAATTTCATCCAAACTTTACAGGAATGATCAGTACCAAGTGTAGTTGTGCATATTGTCAGCATTTTCCGGTTCAATGATTTTTGTCAGAGTTATGGCCCTTTAATAATTTTTATTTTTAAAGTTTGTCCGGACTACTTCTCTTATACCAAAAATGCAATTTCAATGAAACTTTACAGGATTAATTTGTAACTCAAGTACTTGCACAAATTGCACGGGTTTTTCAGTTGAATGATTTTTGGCCGAGTTATGGCCCTTTGATAAATAGGTGTCTTTTTCTGTGTGTTGCCTGATACGCAAAAGCTTAACCGGACTACTCCTCCTAAACTACTGGTGCAATTTTATCAAAACTTTACAGGAATGATCAGTATCAAGTCTAGTTGTGCACTGTCCGTCTGTCTGTCCGTCTGTCACAAAATTTGTCCCAACATGAAATTGGCCATCATGAGGCGACACATGTGATTACTGATCGCTCTTGTCTTTTTAACATTATTTATGTATCTCTCACATCCCTTATGGAAGTGTTTCATTTTAATTATATAATTATTGTAGGTATTTATTTGCTAAATAATGCCAAATTTAATAGCAAGTATGATACCAGATATATGCAAAGTTAAATAAAATATACAAATACTCGTTGAAAGTATTTTATATTTTGCATGATCAACCAAAATATTTTTAAACAAGAGGGCCATGATGGCCCTGGGGTCAGTCACCTGTGCATAGGCCCCCAGGGCAGGCCAGTTTAAACCAAAGGGCTTTTATTTGAACAAACTTTGAAGATGTTTCATGATGTTAAGTTTTTACTATACACAAATAATGAAAAACAATGACTTTTATACAATGGATTTTAATTTTACAAACTTGGTGGACACCCATTAGAAGATGTTCATGCTTAATATCTTAGCTCTAGCTCTTTGGGTTCTTTAAAAGAATTTTTTTTAAGTTTTTGCTATATGCATATAGGGAAAATCAATGGCTCCCTGGGGCGGGGCCAATTTTGACCCTAGGGCTTTTATTTGAACAAACTTGGTAGACACCCATTAGAACATGTTTCATGCTAAACATCTTAGCTCTAGCTTTTTGGGTTCTTTAAAAGATTTTTTTAAAAGTTTTTACTAAAGCATATAGGGAAAATCAATGACCCCCTGGGGTGGGGCAAATTTTGACCCAAGGGCTTTAATTTGAACAATCTTGGTAGACACTCACTAGAAGATGTTTCATGCCAAATATCTAAGCTATAGCTCTTTGGGTATTTAAGAAGAAAATGTTAAAAGTTTTTTCTTATGGTTGATATGGCAACCACAGTTCTGCATGGAATGGAATTCTTTGAACAACTTTGTTAAGGCTTCACACAAGAAACATCCCTGTGAAGTTTCATTATGATCTGCCTTATGGTTTCAGAGGAGATGTCGTTTGTAAAGTGTGAACGGACAACGGACGACGTACGACGGACGACAGACGACGGGCGAAGAGTGATCCTAATAGCTCACCCTGAGCATATGCTCAGGTGAGCTAAAAAATTAAGGGAAACTTTGAAAACAGCCCCTCATTGGTGTAAATTTTAGGGATATTTTGAATGTGGCTTTTTATATAGGGAAATGGTCAAATAAGGGTTTAAAGTAGGTGGGGTAGGGTAACATTTTTATACATATTAAAACTGTTTTTTCATAATGATGATATTATAGATTATTTAGAGTTTCAAAATCTGGAAAAAGCCCTTGTAATTGACACATTTCTAGTTACTTTTTTATGTTTTTTTTTCTCTAATGGTTTTGTAATTTTTCTCTAAATCAGCAGCTACAGACTGAATAATAATCCCGCTAGCTAGCGATAATAGAAACTAATCCTGTGCTAAACAAAGTTTAGTGTTCAAAATTATCTTTGTCCAAAAGAATCGCAGTATTTCAAATGAATCATTACACATTTACTCTGGTAAATCAGCAAGCTGTTTATCAGATTATCAAATCGCCTATTTGTTTCCAGATTTTCACAAAAATAATTTCAAACACTCAATTTTAATGCTTACTAATAAACACTTATATAAATTTAATCTGTCTAGTAAACCAACAAATTCATAGAAATAATTTCAAATTACGCCATTCTTGACTACTTAAGTTTTGTAAATGCTTAATTTTGTTTTTGGACCTGTGTTATAAATTTGATTCTGGCAAGTGTTAACGGTATAAATGTGTAGGTCAATCATATTTTGCTATTAAAATCCAATTTAGTGAGTAGCTGATATATTGAAATGTTTAAATACAAAATCTTAATGTTGAAATAAGGTCTAGTTCATGAGGAAGATTAATTGAAGGTATTCAGTATAATTAGTCAAGTCTTGCTAAAAAAAACCAAAGACAATTTCTACAAGTTTCAAAAATAAGCATTTGACAAAAACTTTCATTTATAAATATATAATTTATATTATATGGCAAGTTTATTCGTTTGTTGTTCATCTATTTAACATACATAATTTAAAGATAATTTAGAATTTAATTAACTATAGACAACGTTATAAGTAAATGTTAATGGATAATACTTATTGACTTGCAAATTGTAAATGCGCTCAAGCGTAAAAAGGTCAATCGATTATCTGCCGTGTTAATTAGTTTACACATTTTATCGTGAATGATGCATCTTTGAATTGAATTATAATGTTAAGAATCACATAATGTAAAGACGTCTGGTGGAAATTAAGTCTAGTATATATGGGGAAATAAGCTTACTCGTTCATCCTCATTTGCGCCCATTTATTTTCTTTTCGTACCAGCAACTCTGTATATAAACTTGAAATATATTTTTTACTCACTTAAAGACAGGAAAACATTTTACAAATCAGTTTTAATAGTGCGAATTATTACATTGTAACCTTTAAATGCTTGTTATTTACCTTAAGTCCCATAAAGGGTATAACTCGGCACACATCTCACAATGTACGGCCTTTTTTAACCTTTTTCCTCATATAGACGTGTTTTGACGGCTTTTTGAGGCATCAAGCAGTGAAAAAAATGCACTATTTTAACACTGTTTTTCCAATGAGAAATGTTGTTAAAAAAGTGACTATTTTTCTGCGCGGTCGCCATCAAAATTATACATCAGGTGGTTGCCAGAAGGGGGATGTGCCCCCTTCTGTTTAGGGGTTTTGAAGGGGTCGGCAGTCCCTCTCATTGCCAAGAAAATTTTGAACCTGTGACAGGCTTAAATGTCCTCAGATCGATCTTAAGGTAACGTGTAATGAACGTTTAAAGGCCTTTTACTCTATTTCAATGCATTGTGAAGTTACAGCACTTTGAAATCCCTTTTGATTGAAAAAATAAACCAATGCAAAGGAGTAATTTTTCGTAATTTTGAGACGTCTCCCCGTTGCCATGGTAACAGGAAATTTACGATTGAGCATGCTTTTACAGAGGTTATGGTTCAGTCAACATTTGTGCCAAGTTTCATCAGTATTGAAGCATTTTTATAGTTTTATAGCATTTTGAACTTGTAACAGGAGCCTTTTCAATGAAAACATGATCCTGTCCATGTTACTACTTTGTCTGTACTTGATGGGACTGGCGAACATATGTTTTCACCATTTTCAGAGGATAGAAAACCGACAAAAAGGAATCCCGTCCATAATGACAAGGTAGACAGGGGTAATCATGTCATATAAACACATTTCTAGTTTACTTTTGTATAGACCTTATCTAACTTTCCATCCTTTTATCTCATATTCATAAGACTTTCAAAACTTGTATTTGGATCTATTTTTAAAAACGTCTAAATGCATCTTATATACATTTATTAAAATAGAAAGGTAAGTATCATTCCAATGTAAAAATTTTCCTTTTTACTTACCTGTATCTCAGTTATTCACGACTGATCACTTACATTAGGCTCTCCCGAAATGAAGAAATAAACTATCAGCTTAGCCTTTTTGATGAAGTGACATATTTTATAATGACTAGATAAAATCGTTAAATGTTTTTGTTGTCCAAAAATGTAATGGCAAACAGATTGACAACTCACCCTGTTTGATACCTTATTTATTATACATTATTATAAGCGCACAACACATGCAAGGATGAAATGTGAAATTCATTAACTGATTTTGCAAATAAATCGTAGAAATGTATCGTTTAAGTCCTCTTATTTTCAAAATAGAACACAGAAATTTGACGCCACGTTCATCCATTGTTTTCATAAACAATAAATTCATTAAGAAAGTAGATGTGGGTAAGGATATTTGGCA